GCACCCAGTCCCCTGGGTTCTGAAGGCCTGGCTCCCCAATTCGAGGATTAAGGACTCATAAAGGAAGGTCACCTGTACTTGTTGGCCTGTGGCATCCTAGGTAGGCGTTCAACTTCATTCTTGAAAGTAGGATCTCACGAACATGTAGACAAACTTTTGCCCTAAAAACTAATCATTACACAGACTGCAAGCTTCACCTTGTGCTTGGTACCTACCCCTCTGGTCTCAAACCGTTCCAGGACATGGTGAAATCAGCCCATTTTCAAGCCTGGAGCTTCCACGTTCCAGTCTCTCACATCACTCAAGTGTGTGATCCAGCACTAACTCCTACACAGGAGTCAACCAGCACAGCTGAGTGGCCACACGCATGAAGGACTTATAAACCTACAGAAAATTGTTTGGAAGGTCAATCTCCAAAACTATTCAGTTTTTACCTTTGGAGAGGGCTGAAAAGCCTTTACACTAATGTTTGACATTTTAATTTTCTTTATAAAAACGCATGTTAATCTTTTCAACGGCACATTAAAAAAAAAAAAAAACTATCAGCCACATTCCAGAGTTAATAAGGGCTCCACTGATGGAAGGCAGATTATAAATGCAGATGTAAATGTATCCACAGAATTCAAGTCACTAAGCTTCGCATCATTTTTTTCTATTTCACAGATGATGAAACTGAGCCCAGAGAGGCAAACTTACCCAGGCTCCCACACCTAGTGAGTGGAGGGGTCAGCATTCAAATCCACATGATTTCAAGCAAAGGTTCCTCCTTCATACAAGGGGGCAAAAGGCAAATGGAAATCGTGAGATCATTTCTCTCTGCAAGTAGTACAGCTACCCAACACTGGCTAAGATGTAGGGAGAAAGGCACTCTTATAACCATGTTAATAGAAGTATTAGCTGATCCTCCTTCTTATTAAATATTAAAGTATATTAAATATTATATACATTATAATATATAATATTAAAGTATATCAATATTTTAATATTGAGTTTTAATATGAAATTTAATATGAATTCCTTTGAACCAACAACTTTACCTGCAGAAATTTATCCCATAGGAACCTAAAAAAAACTTGACTGTTCACCGTTACTATGGAAAAAACTGGGACCCACCATAAAGGCCCAGACATACCATGGAATTCTATTTAGTCACAAAATATCACCATATACTTTCTTATGCACAAAGATCTGCATATACTATAAGCTGCTGTGTGGCTGGATTTTTGCTGTTAAAAAAAATTTTTTTAAGCATTAATTCAACACAAATAAAATGAGGGGCCATCAGAAATTTGGAATAACATCAATGAAACTTCCCAGTTTTGCCGAGGGCCACAAAATTTGTGCTGGACTCTCAAAACCCTCTTGCATCACAGGCTACTCTGTGTGCTAGACTCCACAGAGAACATGCAGGGCCCATCACAGGAAGTAAAACCTTGTCAAGTGCATCAGTACAACACAAAGTGACCCCACTAAAACATCGCACACCTCACAAACATTCCAGCGTGGGGTGTGGAAGCAAGACATACCAGGTGAAGTCATCTGAATTGATCAAAGTTGTTAACAGCTTTCAAGGAGGGAGCAGGTACTATAACAACATCTGATCAGAAAAACCTCCTAAACTTAACTAAACATATGAATCTTAAGTTTAAAACAAACAAGGGTTTCTTCTGGCGGAAGCTTTCACGTAACTGCACTCCAAGAGTCCAGAACATACCTATGAAAGATTCCCAACCTCCCTAACTAGACACTTAAATAATCTAACGGATGAAGTGGCAGGTAGTAGCAAGCTATACAAAATAAAATGTAATGAGATTAATCTGCTAACAGTCACTATACCTCTCAAAAAGTTCAGGTAGTAATGGTGCCAAAAACTTACTGATCCACTCATAATCATTTTCTGAAATTAACTGTGCTGCCTGTGTCCCCAGCTAAAGGCCCATTTCCAAATCATCTCTTGGCATCTTTCACCTTCACTGCACTGAGGCTAGCTCACCCTCTTGGCCAGGCCTTGGCGACCCCCATTACTGTTCAGCAAATTAGCCCAGCTTTCACTGCTGTACTGCAACCTTAAGGCCCAAAAGCCACAGTGACTCAAGTTTAATGAGTTAGAGCAGCCCTTGGGAAAAGTATTTCGGCTAGTTATTTTTTAAGCCTGAACTTCATTTGATTATGTCAAAGTTGTTCAGATGTGATGACCAAAACAAAACTGCAGACAAGCCCCATAGTTTTTTGGTTTTTTTAAATTATTTATTCATTGAATGATTTAAGGTGTGTACCACTACTCCAGTTGGGTAAACCACATTGAAGAATCTGACTGCAGGTCTTTAGATTCAGCCAAATGCTTTCCATTAATTTTGCTCTATAAAATACCAAACATTATATACTTAAGTTTTTAATGCTTCAGCCATGCTCAGAACACTGCAGCTTAAGGATAACTCAACCCACTCATGCCAAGTTAGGGTGACAGGAACAGAACTCATGAGCTATGACGTCTAAAAGAATCAGAGAATCTAGCTTAAGATGAAAAGAGGTTCTGTTCCCCCAAAGTAAACTGTCAGCCTACACTGTTCTCAAGAGACTGAAAAAAAAAACAAAAACCCAACATTATTAAAAAGTATCACACAAATATGCAATCTTCCATGATTTGTTTTGCATCTAAAATGGCACAAAGAAAGGCTGCAAAAATCTAGCAGTCAGAACTAAGTTTTCCTAAGAGAAATCATTTCCCTTTCTACTCCTAGGTCTTGGTTTATTCTGTGCTCTGGTGGCACAGGAGAGCAACGGGACGGAGATGGGGGGAAGAGTTACTGCTGGGTGACAGAGCATTTAGAATTAAATGCAGTGGAAAAATAAATGCTAAAGTTTTCAAAAAGTTTAATGGAGCCAATAAGATATATAAAACTGTGTTCTGGCAGACGTGAAGACCTGCTTTCTCTTACCAAAGAAAATGGCACATGTTTTATCAAAATTTGACAATCAACAGTAAAGGGTATTGAGATTAAGCTTCAGAGCACCAACTAGAACAAAAACCACCAAAAAAAATTTTTGTTGTTGTTACTAACTTGGAAAGAGGAACTAGAACCAAGGAATAAAGGGGAGATTAAATGTGTTCCTCAGCCTCAAAATCCTTTAGGAAGAGTAGTTCTGGCTGCTTGTGAGCAATGCTTCACACCACCCAACCCAATTCCAGAATCTAAATTTGCAACGATAGAAAAACAAAGATAACTCCAGATTCATTTCTTGATATATTCCAAAGGGAAGCCTGAAAGTATTCCTAATACATAGGCTCACCCGTTTCTGGTAAAATGATACATTGCTATAATTCTTCCTATCATATTCAAACAAAAGAAATGATCCACTGTTGTAAAAATTTAGAAATGCCTCACTTTCATTCCTAGGTTTAGTGTGGAATTGGCTTTTTTTAAATAAGGGCCGTATCAGTTCACACATTACATTCACATCCCACCCAGTCAATGAATATTATGGTTAACTTAGCAAAGTTTCTTCACAGAAAGATTATTCAATGGCTGAAGAAATTGCAAACTTTAACAAAGTGCTGTGAGTAATTACTGGAAAAACCCTTATACTGATTTGCAATGGTCTTTTAAGGATAAAAACAGAAAGTAACTGATACTGAGCTACAAGTTTGCAAGGAAACATTTTCACTGTCCTACTTGATACATTTATAATAATATGATAGAATAAATTACAGTACCTGGCAGGCTGACATCAGTTCTTCATCTAAAAAAAGACTACCATTCAGTTCAAGATATTAAAAATGAAGATGAAACATGCTCTAAAACATTGTAGGTACAAGAGGTCTTATATTTACTCAAAAGAGGAATCTATTGAGAACTTTTATTTAAGTCTACCTAACACCTAGAGAACCTCCATGCGATTCCATCTTTTCCAGAATGAGATTCCAAACTGCACTTTATAGGAGAGGGATTGGAGAGTTGGGTTTTGCTATTTAAGGTGTGATCACATTATCAGCAGATAAAAGACCTTTATCTTCCACCCATTCCAATGGAAACTGCACAAAGTAGAACATTCATGAAAAATGTTAAACAGAATATAACAGACTAGAATACCTACCCTCCCACCATCCATCTCGCTCTCACTAATACTGAACCGAAAAGGAAGCCCATGAAGTTCATGACCTCTCTACTTTAGGTCACCATGAATGCAGTCTACATGTTTACATTTACCATAAGGACAGTACCCTGCATGGGAAGTAGCACTTATCTTAAAAATGAGTATTTCAATCCTACAAGGTTAATCGGGGGGCAATTTAATAATATTGCTACTTTCAGAGCACTAACACACACAAAGTGAATCCAATAAAGTTGTGTATTGATTCGATATTAAGTATTAATTGCATGACCATCATAGCACCTCTTTACATCACACAATCACCAGAATTAGAAACTGCTTTGAAAACTAAAAATAGGGCACAGTTCAATAATCAGAAGTTGCACACTGTTACTAGAGAGAAACCAGGTGCATGGTACAGTGCTGCTGCAAAAATGGAAGCCTGGCGATTTGACGAGGAAGCCAAATCACGTGTTTTAGACAATTTTAGGAACCTGGCAATACTGTTGAAGCAAAATACTCAACACACAGGAAATGGAGCCCCCCCACCCCAAAAAAAAGCGTTCTATAACCAAATAAACATCTGATACTTCCTTTCCCTTTGAGAATAAATACAGTTAAGGTCACTTTTAGCCTTGAAACGGATATATGTTTGCCTATGATGATCTTGCTAACGACTACACGATATCTGATGTCCTCTGCTAGGACTATAGTTTTAAGAAAGCCATAGTTACAAGAGGCATCTACTATAAATACCTAGAACTTCCTTTTATGGCAACCACTATAGAATTCACTTGTCTTAAACAGTGAACAAGGGAAGATGGCCTCATGTTTCCTTTGCAATAATAGTATATGTTGAGGATCAAGTGGCTTTCAAGCAGCATGGTGGGTGTGAAAATGTTTGCAGTCTAGATCATTCTGTTGCGTTTATGGGTTGGTGAGTCTGTAATGACATCGCCACACTGGGCTGAGGTACGCTTTCTAGTTCCACCATTGTCCAAGTGGAGTGCCATTTCTTCTGATATGAAAGTGTTCAAATCGACATCATGGAGTCCATTTCTCCTTCGACTAGCATTCGATCCACTGCTTACATGTGTAGGAGAGCCTGGGGTACTCGAACGCACGCTTATACTAGCCATTGCACCACTAAGACCTAGGAAGAAGAAAAAAGGTTTTAGAGTTGCTCGATTATTTAACCCTCTTGAAAGCAACCCAATTTTACTTTCAACGTCGTCATAGTGTCAAAGGATGTCTGCCTATTTTCCTTGCAAGGGGGTCACTGGGCAGCAGTTTTTTCCTGGAAGAACGAATCATCTGGCTTTGACATAGGAGATGTTCACTGGTAATACTACCAATATTTACAGTATCGGTTACTACCAATTACTGGAAGCTTATTACGCGGCAGGCACCATGCTAGGTGTACAACTCCATTATGAAATCCTGCCATCTACTCTACTAGGTACGGACTATATGTAACTTAGAGCTGAGGAAGGAGGTGCTTGCTTTAAACAGGCGAAGATTTTGGTTATCCAAAGTCACTGTTCCAAAAGATCCCTGTGCTGTGTGTGTGTGCAAACAAGGGAGCATGCAGTCACTTCCAGGCCTGAGTGGGCTTATTCTGACATTTCTATAGATAAGGCAACTTTTTAATTTAGCATCTAAAACAGTACACTACTGAACATGAAAAAGGGTCACTATTAAAAATGATCCTGGGACATCAAATACAAAGTGATTCTGCCCTGGACAATCAGGCTATATGATCACCCCAAGGTCTGGACTATACTATATTTGGTATATATACCCCTTAGGGCAGCCTCACTCAGCATCATCTCTAATCCTTCAGGGGGCGGGAGAACAAGGGTGGTATAAAAAAGCCTGCTGCCTTGCCTTCAAGGTTAAGAGTTACTAAATCCAGAGTATTCCAGCACTCATGGTCAGACACTCATTCCTTAGACCCCTGAACAGTTAAAGGAGGCCAATGTATGTTCTGCTTCTAAATTTCCAGGATACACCTGTGAAAGGCATGAGAGGCCTGAAAACAAACCACAGCATTTAATTTAATAACCTGACATCACCGCCTGTCGATTTTCCTTCTTACGGACTCCCCCTTGGGCTACCCTAGCCTCATATATGGATTTTGTTAGTGCTTGACTAAACTGATATGATCTAGTATAATCAGTGTTTCCCAAGAATAGGACTTGTACCTTAAAGTATGCTTAGAGGTTGGTTTCGTAGGGGCCCGTTCTCATTTACTCCATAAATGTACTTTAAATTTGAACATTAAGTTGAAAAAGGATTCTCTGCTTCCTACCACACCGAAGCTATTAAATTCCCTTTGACATTTTTCTCACTCTACAAATACAGTGAACATTCCCAAACCCTTGGCCTCAACCACCTCCCATATATGCTGATCAAGTTCTGCAGTCCACACCTCCTTTCTAAACTGCTCTCAACTCCCTACGCTAGGAACCAACCAGTCCCCTCACTGCTCTCCCTGTAGAAGATGCATCCTGTCTCCCTTCCCCTGGTGGCCAGAGGAAATCTGATCTCACTCATTTCCAAGGCTAGTGCCTATTAAAAATAAATAAAAGCACTAATACTGGAATACTTCCTATGTCAGGCACTGTATTAATAAGCACTTTTAAATTTCATCCTCAAACTAAGCCTATGGTATTTGTGTTATCTTTTTTGCAGATGAAAAGCCAAGGTTAAAAGGTTGAGTAAGGCACTCAAGGTCACAGGGCTAGTAAGCAAGAGCTGGGACCCAAGACTCAAACAGAATCTAAATTCCTACTCATGTTATGCTACCCACCTCTTTGAGCCTAAATTATTTCAGCCTCAGGATCTAGGGCCCGGCCTGCCTCGCAGGTCTGTCTCTGAGCAGCTAACTCTCCCTTCTGCCCTCTTCACTCCCATCCTAAGGCTTAATAATCATGCACTGCCAATATCAACTCATCTGCAGTTCCTAAAAATGGCCCAGGCTGCACCTGCCTCCCAACATCTGCTCCCCACTGCCTGAGGCCCAAGTCCCTCCAGCACTGCCTCCCAGTCTGGGGCTACTTTCCTGGTTCTCCGCCCTCTCCTTTGAAACTCTCCTCTTTGCTGTTCTCCAGCCTGCCTGCTCCTTCCTCACTGGCCTTTGCAGGCTTCTCTTCTGCCCCTCACAGGCTGATGTCACCCAGGTGAGATCCTTGGCCTCTTAGCTTACCCACAGGCATCGTTTTCCACATCCGTGCCACAGGAGCAGACATTTTTCCTGAGATCAAGGGCCCATCCATATTTCTAACTGCCTGCTGGCCCTCTCAAACCGAACATCTTCAGAAAGAAACCACGCTGCTTCTTCCCCAGCCCACACAACTTTATTAAAAGTTAAAAAGAAGGGAAAGAAACGCCTCGGGCTGATTTCACATAGCACAGCACCATTGCTCATCTCTTCCTATAGACACTGTGTCTTTACATCTGTATCTCATGAACACAGTGCCTGGCACATAACAGAATGCTTCAGAGCCCTACCCATCACTCTGAAATCCAAAGCTGTTGATGTTTATTCACCTCTCCAATGCCAGGAAATATATACCCAGGTGGCTCTCTTCACTTAAAGCTTTGCCATGAAGTTAAAACTCAATTATTCCCAACTTGCTGGGTTTGGTTTTTCCTTTTTCTGTTTTTAAGTTCTCCACCAAGACTGTAAACTCCTTGAGGGGAGAGCTGTGCCTTTTTTCCTAATCTCGCAACCTGTAACATACTGAAAGGTGTCTGTGTACTTGAGACCACCTTTTCATACCTGTTTCATAATGCAGGAGATTCTACGGTAATTATGCTGCAACATGTGGGCCCTCAGCAATAAACCGGGCTACTTCAGTAATTAAACTCAGGATCCCCTAAGCATTCAATACCCAAAAAAGAACTCAACAAACCCTGCCCCAATGCCCCTCTTGTTAATGTAGGAGCTACGTTGCTGTATGTTTAACACCCAAGGCTCAAAACGCTCCATCAGAAGTGAAGAGGCACCTCAAGCAAATCCTTCAACTGCTATCCTCCATGAAAAAAGAAGAGAGATTAAACATCAATTTGGTCAATTTGAAAATTCCCCAGTAACTTCCAGAAAACCGTAATCATTTTTCTGTTGGGTGGATGACTCTGGGCTTAGTTTGACAGCTAAAGCAAAATCACAATGTGCAACATTACCTATTTATTATCATCTACTCTCAGCAGTGAAAATTCTTTTCAAAGTTTAACTATCTAATCTTCCCCCAAAAGACTTTTCACAAGTGTCAAAAAAAATTAAGATTAACAACCAAAAAATATATATTTTAAACAACCCAAATTTTATTTTATAAACCAATGACAGCTACTAGAAGATGCTTTAGGAAACCTTAGCTAAGCCACATGAACAATCAGGCCTATACAAGTACAGAGAATCTAAACATGCTTCAGAACTAAAAACTAAGTTGTGTGGCCCAAGGGCATACAACTTAATTTCTACCAAAAACACACGTTTTCCAAAGGGCTACGGGAATATCAATTGACAAAAAGCAGTAGAACAAGTAGTGTGATTAGACAGAAAAGTCTCCATTGCTTAATACAAGATAAACTTATCAGTTTGAAAAGTTTCTGCATTCATTTTAAAGGATTAGTGCAGGGGTGGAAAAAAGATCAAGAGGATTTAATCATACTTTGAAAAGAAAGCTCCCACATGAGCTAAAACAAAGTTACAGTCCAAGTTATAGGAATCTAGGTTACATGGCAAATTGTTAAAAAGTAGCACAGAACTATTATTTTCATACCAAGGTCATGCTTAGGGTCATTAAGAAAATCCTGTTTTCAGAATTAATTACATATAATTCCAGTTTACCAGCACATAGTTAAGTCACACAGAAAGAGCAAATGCAGAGCCCAGCCAGCCTCCCTTCCTCCATCCGGCAGCCCTGGAAGTGGCCTCTATAGAGGCCGCCTCTACCCTTTCTGCTGGCCTCCCAGCCCCCTTCAGCACCTGCGAGACTCGCCCTGGAGTAGACAAGGCAGACTGTTTACTGTGGTTCCACTCAGCACAGGTCCAGGACCCTCTGCAGGTCTGCGCCACCAGCTCTCTCATCTCCGGCAGAAGGGGGATGTGAAATCCCCACAACTTGGACAAAGTGATTAACATTCTGACTGGGAACCCTAAGACACAGGCATTCTTGCATTTGAAATGAATTGCACTATTCAAATGGACATACACTCCCTTTGCACAAAGTTGTATTCTGAGGTTTTAAGCAAGCAAGCACTTGTGTGTAAATGTCGTGTTTTAAGTGCACCAGGGGAGGAGTTCAATCCTGGAAAAGTGAATTCTACTAGGAAGATTTGGGTAATTTGAAGTAGATACCACTCCCCACCCCAATCTGTAAATTGTAATACTGAACTTTTATTGAAGTAAAGCACACTAAATCAAACCAATTACAAAGATACATGTGTCACACCAAGAAAACATTTTCAGTTATGCTGACAGCCCAAAATGCTTTCAATTTTTCAAAGACAGTTTTAATGCCATGGGAAAAATGCTCACGACGTTAAAATGAAAAAAGCAAGATACAGTACCATATACGCAGCATGATCTCAACTATGAAATAATTTTAATATTTATACATTGAAAAAAAAGACTGGAAGAAAATGCACCAAACATTTAACTGCAGTTATCTCTGTATAGTGGGAAAACAAGATACTGAATTTTTTACTTTTTGGAAATTTTCAAATTTTCCAAGAAATTAGTATTTATAAATCAGAAAACTAGTGAAAAAAAAAAACTTAAATGTTAAACTACCAATGGATTATTAAGGAAGTATTATTTAGGTGAGTAAACTGGCTTTGAGGCATGGCTACATGGACTTCACCTCAATGAAAAAAAATATCCAAGAAAATTTTACTGCAAATTCATAACAGTTTTGTACTATTAATGTCGGAAGCTTTAGTTAAGTCCTACCCACAGAAACTTCAGTAGCTAATATCTAATCTTAATATACAGAAAATGCCAACTTTTCATCAAAAATTTAATGCTATCTTAATTGCCTTAATTGTTCTTGTTCTCAGAGGCTGATCTGAACAAAGGGTATTAATTTAAAAATTCCAGCCTTCACAAGAGTTTCCATTAAAGAAGGTTACTTGAAAAAATCAATC